AGTTGGCATTATAAACCTTGAGTTGGTGAGGCAAGTGGGTGGAACCGTCTTTTTTCACGGTCCGAATTCGTTTTTGTGCCGATAATCAAGGATAGGCACAGTCCACCGCATATTATAAGAAAGGCTTTGTGAATTGAAGTTGGCGTTATACAGTTGAAGTTGGCGTTATACACTTTTCACGGTCCGAATTCGCTTTTGTGCCGATAGGCACTTACAGCACTAGTCCACCGCCTAAAGGAAAAGTATATTATAAGAAAGGCTTTCTAACTACAGTAGTTGTGTAGTTGCAATTGGCGTTATTCGCCTTGCCTTGGCGAGGCTAGCGGGTGGGACCGTCACGTAAAGCACCGCGGCTCTTGCGGTGTCCGGTGCGCTCAGGTCGGCCCTTGAAAATCCGAGGGAGAGGCGTGAGATTTTCGCGTCGGTCCGTACCCATAACCGCAGCAGGTCTCCAAGGTGAACAGCCTCTAGTCGATAGAACAATGTAGGTAAGGGAAGTCGGCAAGCCGGATCCGTAACTTCGGGAGAAGGATTGGCTCTAAGGGCTGGCCCGATCGGGCTGGAACCAGAAGCGAGACGGGAATGTCCGGGGCTGGGCGAGGCCCACTCGTCGGGTCGAGCCCGAACCTGGCGACGTGATTGACGTCTTGGACGGCCTCCGCTGTGCAGTCTGGGGCTCGATCTCCGGCTCTGCTTCGGCCAGCGCAAAGTAGCCGACTGTCTGATCAAAACATTGGGATAGCCGTCGGGTGGTGTTGACGCAATGTGATTTCTGCCTAGTGGCAGTGCTCTGAATGAACGTCAAAGTGAAGAAATTCAACCAAGCGCTGGGAGTAAATATGACTCTCTTAATGTAGCCGAATGGATTAACGAGAGTTGCACCATGCCCACTGTCCCTATCTACAATCTAAAGAAACCACAGCCAAGGGAACGGGCTTGACAGAATCAGCGGGGAAAGAAGACCGTGTTGAGTTTGATTCTAGTCCGATTCTGTTCCCTCACCGGCCGGCCACGCTCGTCGCGATCGTCAGCCGGGCGCGATTCGCTCCCAAGGCAGAGTCGGGCGGGGAGTTTTCCTATCATCGTGAAGCAGAATTCACCAAGCGTTGGATTGTTCACCCACTAATAGGGAACGTGAGCTGGGTTTAGACCGTCGTGAGACAGGTTAGTTTTACCCTACTGATGAAGTGTTGTTGCGATGGCAATCCTGCTCAGTACGAGAGGAACCGCAGGTTCAGACATTTGGTTCAGGCGCTCGGCTGATGAGCCGGTGGTGCGAGGCTACCATCTGAGGGATTATGACTGAACGCCTCTAAGTCAGAATCCCGCCCAGAAAGCAACGATACGCGTGGCGCCTCCTTCGGAGTGGCAGGCGTAGGTCTGTTCCGCAGCCCGACAGAGCCACTTGCGGCGACCATCCGGGGGCTCCGACTACACCGTCGGACTCCGCGCTCGATCCGCAGAGCAATCTCCTCCGGGGCCGAGGCGCTGAATCCTCTGTAGACGACTTTGATGCAGCTCGGGGTGTCGTACCTAGTAGAGCAGCCGCTTCGCTGCGATCTATTGAAAGTCATCCCCGCGAGCTAAGATTCGTGTCCGCTCAGGCGCTCCGCCATATGCAGAACCGGCGACAGGGTGTCGCCCCCTTTCTTCCACCGGGGGACATCGGGGCAAGCCGGCGGAGCACTTCACCCGCACGCCGCCGGGCGATGTCCTTGGTGCTGAAATGGGGCCCCGAGGCGGGGAGACAAGAGGAAAGACGTCGCGCGTAGGTCATGTGGTGCCGGAGGATCTCGTCGCATAGAAAAACTCGCACAACACGGGGTACGGCCCCGGTCCTATGCGTGAAGAAGGTAGCCGCCGGATGCTATCGTGCAGGGGCCGATGTACTGAAGTTCCAATGTACCGACAATTGATTCCGGCCTTATGGATATTGTGTCCGAACCGGATGGCTATCCTTGCCGACGAAGTATCTGGGTCACGGTCGGATACTGAGGACATGTCACGGTACCAAAGAGCTACGCGTTGGTGACGACCAAATCAGCCCTCTCAATCTCAAGCCGGCTCGTATCGTACATAGGTTGACGTTGTTGTTCCAAGGACGCTATCGTGACTGTGACTATTACTACACAGGCGCCCAGCTGACAGACCATCTTTTCACGAAGGACGTACTAGTACTTGGTCGGGACGGTGAGAAGGAATGCGTCGAGCCTACAAGTGTCCTTGGCGAGGCTAGCGGGTGGGACCGTCACTTTTCACGGTCCAACTTCGCTTCCGTGCCGATAATCAAGGAGAGTCCACCGCCTTGAGGAAAGGTGCATCATAAAGAAGGGCTTTCTAACTACGCGTAGTTGCTACAGTTGCGCAGTAGGCGTGTTACGCCTTGCCTTGTCGAGATTAGCGGATGGGACTTTCTTTTTTAGTCGGACTTCGCTTCTGTGTCGATAGGCGAGTAGAGTAAACCCAGATGAACTTGAACCTTGAGGAAAGATGTGTTATAAGAAAGGCTTTCTAAGTATCCGTAGTTGCTGTAGCTGTGTAGTTGGCGTATTTCACCATGCTTTGGCGAGGCTAGCGGGTGGGACCGTCACTTTTCACGGTCTGACTTCGCTTCTGTGCCGATAGGCTAAATGTAAAGTGTAGTTCGCGGCCCAGATTGCTAAAAAAAAGAATAACAGTTACAGAAATTCTTTTTTACTCTAGACCAAATTGATTTCTAGTATTAAAAAACGTTCGTTTATCTAGAACAATGTTCCTCTGACGAAGGCATGAGATCTCCGACCTCTAGTTTCAAATGCAGTCGCTCGGCGCGGTTCTTGTTGAGAATAGATAAAGAAGAAGGATCAAATAGCGCGGTTCTTGTTGTGGAAACAGTAGGGAAAAAGGATCAAATAGCTTGTTTAAGACTCTCCTGATATGTATCTAAATGAGTGAAGCAAGTGCATGTGTAAGTTCATCTGGGTTTACCAGTAAACAAACGTCCGTGCCAGATGCGCATCCACTGGACTGGAAGTGCAGTCTTGAATCAGCACCATCGGTTTTGTGAACAGGTGTTAGTCGGTGATCGCCTTGCAAAACATCCACCCAGTACAGAAAAAAATCTTATAGACAAGAAAAATCTTTCAAAATCGAAAAAAATCTAATGATTTGAACAGGCACAGTCTGGTATTAATAACCTCTAATAAAAACCTCTGCTAAGTGGACTACACTGCAGTATGATTCGTCTTGCAACAGGCCAACTCGCCCATTCCCGCCAAAAGCCTGGGCAAGCTTTAATTTTTTTTGACGCTTCACTTCTTTGTCTGTGAGGCAACCGGCACGTGATCGGATGTTGGCGGTGGAGGGATGAAGTAGACACTGGCGACTCCGGTGAATGGCTAGGCCTCTTTTAGTTGAAAAAACCCTGGTGCACCCTGTGCAGCTGTCTTTGAAGTTCAGGGTGGCTACCTCGTCATCTGTTGTCTTTGATAACCGTCTTTATATGCAAGCGAACCCGGAGACGTCGGCCTGGACCCCGGGAAGAGTTCTCTTTTCTTTGTAAGGGGCGCGTGCCCTGGAATCGGTTGGCCCGGAGATAGGGACAGCTGCCCCGTAAAGCACCGCGGCTCTTGCGGTGTCCGGTGCGCTCAGGTCGGCCCTTGAAAATCCGAAGGAGAGGCGTGCGATTTTCGCGTCGTACCCATATAAGATAGAACAATGTAGGTAAGGGAAGTCGGCAAGATTGGCTCTAAGGCCTACAGGCAAATATACACACGGGAAAACACATCTGCCCTGTCCTTGGTGCTGAACGCCATCCATACACTGGACTAGGAAACACACCTACCCTGTCCTCGGTCCTCTTTGTGAAACACAATCATTTGCCTTAAAATGAAATTTTCGTACCCATTTGAGGCAAACTGAGTTAACATAAAAGGACAAAAACGAGAGGAAAAGAGCAATACAGTACGGTCGCAAACCATTCTTTTTAGAAACGGACGAAAATTGATGCGCGCGCGGATGTCATCAATATACTGTATAGTCAGTGTGGCATATATAGTCAATCGCGCGGATGTCATCCATATAATCAAATCAACATGGCCTAACTGTATATAAAAATGCCACTGATTTTTTCCCGCAAGGTAACCTGGGCAGAGCTGTAGGCACGCCCAACTTTGCAGGAGAATATTACAAGGAGCCCCGTAGATTTAAAAGCGACCTCGGTCCGATCACTATGTATGTACAAATAAATTAAGTCAAATCAATTCTGTCATTCCTTTCAGGTGAACGCTTGGTCTCCGATGATGACGTTCCATGCGAGGTACCGAGGGGTGCTCCTCCTACTGGCTGTGGGAGGAACTGCAAGTAATTATATACATTACAAACATTTTAATACTACTTATTTCACTTACTCAATAATGTTTTATGATCTCGTACCTTCTTCAAATGTTTCTCAAGGATTATACAAATAAGATCCTCATTCGCAAGAATTATATCACTCAATGACATTCTTATCTAAACAAAGGCTATTTTAGCATTTCCTCATAAATTATGCAAATGATGTCTTCATACGCATAATATATGCCAATGTGCCTTCCATTCTCAATTACAAGTTTGAATAGTCCTTCCGTAAAAGCTTAGGGAGTAAAGTGTAAGTTTTCCAAGTTGTTTGATTGTCTTTCAAATTCCTGTACCATTTCAGTCCTCCAGTCATCTGCTGCTCCTGAGAAAAGGGACCCTTCAGTTGCAGAGAAGGTTGAATCCTTTGTCCAACGTCTGGAAGGTAGAACTTGATAAATATTTTGACCATTCCTTTTATAAAATCTGATTGTTCGAGTGAAGTTCAGTCCATATTTGCAAGCACAATTTGTATACATGTGATATATTGAGAAGAAGGTTAACGTCATTAATGTTTGTATGCACAACAACTCACATAGATTAATTGATGATTAAGAAGAAAGTTTTTGTCAAAATTGATTTTACAGAATTGATCGATCATGAAGTTGATGGAGATGAAGACACCATGGATATGATGGAAAAGGTACATTTCATTGGTTTGGGTGGCAATTCGAACATGTGGCATAAGGTGTGGGCTGTTACAATATAGCCTGGTGTGCGGTCTATCGTGGTGTGGGTGGGCTCTCTTCAGGGAAGTAGAAATTTCCTGCCATCTGGTCCAACAAGGGCACTCGTGTACTCATACACACCTGGTAAACGTACTGGAGTTTATAGTGCACGGTATACATCATCATCATCTGGTCGAGTTGGTGTCTCGGACTTCCATGACCATCTCCCTCCACTTCTCTCGGTCCTCCATAGCTCGAGGGAGGTCAGCTACATCGCAGTGTGTATCGTCGCAGAGTTGTTGTATAAATGTTTTACAGGGTCTGCCTACCCTTGCATGTCCATGCTTTGGTGTCCATAGAAGTACATCACTGATGATTTCCCCTTTACTTCGCCATGCATGTCCAGCAAACCTGAGTCTCCTTTCTCTGATGACCTGAGATAGAGGTCGTAGGTCCCCGTATAACTGCTCCTTTGTGGGGTGTTCCTTCCATGAAGTGTTAAGAACTACCCTTAGCATCTTTGTATACGTTCCGTCTAACTTTTTCTCCAGACGTCTTGTGAGCGTCCATGTGTTGCTCCCATACAGCAATACTGAAACTGCAGTCGCTTGGAAGAATTCACGTTTCAGCTTATTTGGCAGGGGGGATTTCCAGATCACTGATAGCTTGTCAGTTGCCGCCCAGGCTTTTCCAATACGAGCACTCACATCATTTTCAGTTGATGAAATGTCACTACCTAAGTACGTGAATTTCTCAACCTGTTTAATGCTATTTCCATCGAGAGAAGCGATGTTTCCGTGTTGGTTGAATGTCACAAACTCTGTTTTGCCAGCATTGACATATAGACCAATACCCCTTGCTGCTTTTTCTAGGCAGTGTAAAAGAATTTCAGCTTGCTGGATTGTGTTGCTGAAAAGTGCAAGGTCATCAGCAAAATCTGCATCGGTGAGATGCCTTGCAGGGTATCGCCGAGATCTTGCGTGCTCTAGGATGAAACCATTTTCTTGTATTTGGTCGACAGATGTCCGTAGTACATAGTCCAGACACATGACGAACAAATAAGGTGCAAGTGTGTCCCCTTGAAGGACTCCAGCTACAATGTTGAAGGGCTCTGTGTCTCCATCAGGGGATCCCCCTGATGGAAATTTCATTAATCAAAACCATTTTCTGGCTACTAGCAGTGTAGCACCATGAGTTCCTGTTGGAATAAGTCTCTGTTTGCCTGGGAACCTTGTCTTCTTGTGTGTCCTCAGCCATACAGTGACGAGCCACAGATGAAGTACTTTCCAGCTACTTGTTTATTCACTCACTGGGAGGGTCTGTTTCTTGGTCTCGATCTTCTTAGACTGACTTACTTGTTGCGCATGCGTGTTAGTCTATATGTTAATGCTCTTAACTGTTAACACATGTTATTTATTTATTTATTTATTTATTTATTAAAATTCATCACAACAGTGATAGGGACGGGGGAACAGGTGTAACACCTTTACCAGCCCTCGTCCCGATACAGCATACAAATACAATAGATTCAAGTATAAAATAATGAGTGAACAATATGCGAATTACATATACATATACATAATGAAAGAAAAAAGACATGATTTAACAAGCTTAACATAGACAGACTACCGAACCCTCAAATCCTGACAAGACGCGCACTTGCACGCAGTGGACCATGTACAGAGGTTGTCAGGTTCAAAGTGATGTTTGAATCTCTCAACAGCAGATTTCACAAGACAACGCTTAAAAGACAATAAGTCAGACTGATTTGACGTCGAAGCCCCTTTGTTGCGAACTGCGACGTCAAGCTTATTCCATTCAGTTACCAGACGTGGTATGTATGACATCGCAAATGTAGATGTTTTACAACGGCTTGGCATTAATATGCAAGACCGGTTACTCCTTGCTGGTCTGGTGGAAAATGATACATATTCATACACGTTCAGTTCATACATACTTGACAGGGACTTAACGAAAACCATGATGTCGGCAGTCTCCCTCCTGTAAGACAGAGGTAGCATGTTTAGGTACAATAATCTGTCCTTGTAGTTAAGTTCACTGACATTTGCATTGTTGCGAAGAATGAACTTAGTCGCCCGCCTCTGAACTCCCTCCAAGAGGGCCATGAGGTTACGCGACAGCGGTGACCAAACGGGGCAACAATACTCGAGAAGTGATCTGACTAGTGTAACATACAATGCTTTACGTATATCCAGGCTGGAATCGTAACCGACAGTGCGTATAATGAAACCCATCATCGAGTTTGCTTTAGCTACAATGTTTACAATATGCTTGTTCCACAACAAGTCAGACTGGGCAAAAACACCCAAGTCGTTCATGCTACTGACTGAACATAGGGCAATGTCAGACATGTGGTAGGTAAAAGTGATTGGACTCTTGGAGCGAGTCAAGCGGAGTACCTTACATTTAGATGGATGGAATGACATCCCCCACTCGAGACTCCACTCATACATAGAAGAAATAT